GCTCCAGCCAGGTTGGGGGGGCTCAGCCCCATCTCCCACCTCCCTCCCTCTCATCCTGCTGCCAAAAGCTGCTGGTGGGGGGGTGGGGGGGCTCCTCCTGCTCCCTCTTCCCTCCTCCCATCAGGAGACCTCTCACGTCAGAAGCCCACAGTGAAGCTGCTGATCCAGGGAGATCCAATTGCTCATCCCAGCAAGTTACAGACAGGTTTAAGCCTGGTTAGATACCACCAAAGCCCCAACCCTTGTCCCATCACCAGCCCTTGCAGAAGAATGACCCTGCTCATCTCAGTCCTTTCCTAAGCAAGCACCAAGGTCTCACTGCACCCAACAGCCCCCATATCCCCCCGGAAGGTTCTTCATAGGCTACAGCATCTCTTTCCCCCCATCCTTTGGGAAACTGATGGCTTAATCCAAACACATGGAACAGGTCGAGTTGGAAAGGGCCTTAAAGCTCATCCAGCTCCAACCCCTGCCCCGGGCAGGGACACCTTCCACTAGAGCAGGTTGCTCCAAGCCCCTGTGTCCAACCTGCCCTTGAACACTGCCAGGGATGGGGCAGCCACAGCTCTGGACAACACCTCCACATTCCAGTGGGTGCAGCCTGGACGAGGTGTTCCACGCAGGAATCAGGGGAGTCCTGCACTGTCTCCCTTCAGGCTGTGGACAAGGAAAGAGAAACCAGAGGCCAACAGGGGAAAACAACCCAAAGAGCAGCAGGATGCAGGGGGAAGAAGAGGCCAGAAACCTCTGCTGCTCCTGTGGGTTGTCACGGAGGGAAGGGAGAGATGGAATATCTCCTCTTGACAGGGAAAGATCACTCCAGGCACAGGTTTGGTGAGAAAGACGACTCTATTTCTGCTCTTACTGTGGTGTCACGTACAAGTTCTAGTGTGGTTTAGTACAAGGAGACACTGGGAGACACACAGATGACCCCCCCTGTGACCAAGAGCATCCCACCGCGGACCAAGCGTGCAAAGGAAGCAGAACCCATGTAAAAATATAGTCGATATTTACAGAGCCCATCATTTAAAAAGCTGAGCTGAAATTCCAGGGCTAAACCACAGGAGAAAGGGGATCATTCCATGAGCTGTCTGTAGGCAGAGGAACAGCCACAGAAATACACTTTAAAACCCCTCCGGGCTAAGGGGACTGGGGGGAATTTCACCCAAAAAGGAGCTGTTGAGGTGCCAGCCGTGAGGTTTGGGGGGGTTTGGCTGTAAGGCAGCAGCAGGGCTCCGTCAGCCTCACCAGTGCTGGGAATTCTGCATCCTAAGGGCACCAGAAGCCAGTT